TTGAACAGGCATTTGCAAGTCTCTCAAAATACAGCTGCTAGGCAAAACGGGTTCATTTAGGAAAAATACCCAAAAGATGGTTATATAGTGGCTACTCCGGAAAAGAAGCTAAGTTGCTTAGGAGGACATGGAAATGGCAGGGGTTTTTTAATGGAATGTTTTAACAAATGAAATTTTGGGCTAGTCTTCACAGCCTTATTAATTTCACAGTCCCAAAACCAGAATATTCTCACTCAGATCTTAATCTGCACGATGTTTAAAATCAAACTTACCTCTGATGGATGTTGTAAGGGTGCCACTTCTCATCGACTCACTCCGACTTAAGTGTTTTCAGAAGGTGCTAGCTTGAATTAGGTTGGTTTGAAGTGGTGTAACCTTTGCAGAGGAGAAGACACAATTGCTTAACTCTTCTTCTCCTTACCATCTGTGCTTAAGCCATAATTGTACAGTAAAATGGGCAACAGTGTATTTTGTGTTACCTACCACTTCCTTAAAGAGTCTAGTGTAACTGAATTGAGTTGCTTTGCTCTTTCTCATCAACAGAAAATTAAGTTCACACAAAATATTACTAGACTGTTAGTTAATTCTTCAGCTTATTGATGGAGTATTCTGTAGTTTCATATGCAGATAACCCATGCCTTTGAATATTTTGTTTCTTTTATTTCCCCACAAACTCTGGCATGAGCTTCCTTATTTCTCAAGTAACTTTCAGTAATGTGTGTGTCATAGTAGTACATGGCACTTGTATGATGTTGTGCATCAGTAAGAATGTATATGGTATCACACTTTTGTCCTCAGCTCCCCTCTGCAGTAGCACAGCTAGGGTGAAACAGCTGTGGAACTAAGTGAAAGTGGGAAAGAGGTTAAAATGAAGAGTTACAAGTAGTTGATTCCACCATTTTATGTGAGTAAATTATTCATGAACATCAGAAATGGAATCCCTGCACCTTGCTGTTTGGAAAACAGAAATTGTATGGAAAAGCACCCCCACTTTAGAGAAAATGATTGATAGGAGTTATGAAATAAATTGCATGTAGTTTTGTGGATCTCAGAAAACTTTTCTGAACTTTACGAAAAGTAAATGTCTTCACAGGAACTGAGGTTATTCCTGCATTTGTTACAGTGTTTTATAGGTCACTTGAAAAATAATCATTATAGTAAGGCTTGTTCTCTGCTCTTCTGACCCTGTGACAACCAAACTTAACTGATGTGATAGAAGTGTTCCTGCTTACCTGATCTGACACTCGATTTGTGATTTGAGGCTTTTCCTTTAAGCCACAATGTATGCCAGATGAAACAATGCTGATTCTGTTGACGATCCGAAAAGATGACATTGAGCTTCTTTGTAATCAGATATGATTTATCTTAAATCATAATTCTTGAATGAGACTCTTGTGAGGACTGAGAACTACTGCTAGTTTCCTATTCATGTCTGCCTTCAAAGCATTTTTGTTTGCATTGGGATGACTGGTAATCAGTTTTCAACTTTGGAAATGAGCATTTGAATGTTTCCTCTCAAAACTGTTCTTCCTTCAATGCAATGTTCTTGCTGCTAGCTCTTCTCAAGACAGCCAAACTAGCAATGCTCTGTTCTAATGCTATTTTCTCTATTTAATAGATTATTTGTTTTACAAGGAGTTCTGAAAAGCAGCATTTTAAGAAAAGCAAATATTAAATGCAATCAATATACTTTATAGAAAAGCTTGTTTTATATCTGTCATATCTACTACTCTGTCTCTATCAAAAAGCAATTCTTCACAAATTTCTGTTTTGTTCTAACAGTAGGGTGGATGGTTCTTAGCTCTGAAGTTCTCTCAGGCATGGGTCTAGATTGGTGCGCAGAAATTAATTCTACTACTTATAAGCATCAGGTTTGTCAAGTTTGATCTTTTTTGGGATTGTGTTCAGAACAGATGAGTTCTAATAGGCAGCAGTTCTAACAGCTCTAATTATAGGTATAGAGAAAAAGAATCTGGGCAGGATTCTTGGTCTGAAACAACTAAGAATTAGTATTTGTCAGCCGGCTGAACTCCTGTGTAACCTGTCCTTTTAATGGCGTCACCTACCGGGCTTCTGGCCACCTCAGCCAAACAGGACATGCGTGGCCACACACCGTGGTGCCTCTTGCTGTTCCTTGCTGCCCCGTAAATACTGTTTCATTTCCATAGTGACTAATGTGCCATGAATCGGCAGCATTGGTACTCATTAGGCTAATTAACTTGCTCCCAGATAGATTTTGTATGTAATGCAAAACAGCCCAGTGCTTCTTGAAAGCTGTATTGTAGAGATTTCAGACTTCCCTAACCTGCTTTCTCTAGGTCCTTCGCTGCTGCTTGAATTGAAAGCTATTGACCCTGTGCTAAGGCAACATACAGCTGGAGGGAAACTGAGTTCAGAGACTGTTTAAGGAAAACAGAGAAGGCTGAACCCAGGCAGGGGTCTAGATTTTTGGTACAAAAGCATAATATCCATCAGGTATTAAAATAACTTGCTTTTAAAGGGCTTATCTTTTAGTATCTTGGTTTATTTTTATCTGTCAGGTTTTTACTTGTCAGCATCATTGCTAGGTTTTATTCTTGTACTGGTTTTGGTGCTAAGAAGTCCAGCAAGGATTTTAACAATTTTGATAAGTGCACAGCTTTATATTGTACATGAATGTCACAGATGCATGTCTTCAATGGAATAACTTAAAATCCTTCTCACTGGCTCCATAGGGAAGGTTGCTCTCTATTGTGGTTAGGATTGCAGTACTGGAGGGATGTTTATACCTGTAGCTGCAACACTAATGTCACAAGCTTCCTAGAAATGTAGCTAAAATAAATGCTATCCTTGCAATATTTGGGGGATCAGAAGCATTATTAGCACATTCCTATGTTTCCTGATGAGCTGTCTCTGCTATACACATTTCTTCCAACATGGTTTTGGGTGGATGCGTACCAGCCACCTAGCAGGTTGTTAGCATTTAGGTGTCTCTTCCTTCTTTGATAACTCTGTATCTATTAACACATTCCTTCCAAGTGCTACGAATCCTATAATATTATTTTTCAGGCATTTACAAAGCTATAATGTTGTTTTAACAGGCATATTAATAATTATTAACTTTTTCCCCAAAAGCTGCATTCAGGACAATGAAAGCATATTCCTACCATCTGTGTGCCTTCACAGACATCTGCTGTGCTCTGATCTAGTCTTAACACATATTGTGCTGGAGATAATATGTGCTTATACAAAATATTATTCCTAGAGGAATAGCTGTGGCTGTATCAGTGGTTACAAGTCCAATTATTTTAGTGAGATTGCTTAGCAAATACCCACTTTGTGGGTACTTATTTGACTTCCTTCATTTAGACTGGGTAATTTTGAAACAAACGCCTATTAAAAGCAAGCTGACCACAACTTCTTTTAGTAGTTACATTTCATGGATAGCAGTATGCCAATAGGTTGGGAGCTGTGAGAGTGAAAACTTTGACATGAGCTGAATTAGTTAATTCTGTGAACTTCAGCTTGGAGATAGGAGAGGTAATCCCCATGTCATTGTATTCCAAACCAGATGAGGACTCTTCTTTTGGTTTCAGCAATACTGTAGTAAGTTATGAATAAAGATTTCCAAGCTATTCCTGCAGCTTTATAAGAAGATTTTTACATAAAAATCACAGAATGGTTGGAAAGGACCTTAAGATCATCCAGTTCTAACCCCCTGCCATGGGCAGGGACACCTCACGATAGACCACGTCACCCAAGGTTCTGTCCAACCTGGACTTGAACACTGCCAGGGATGGGGCATTTACCACTTCTTTGGGCAACCCATTCCAGTGCTTCACCACCCTTACTGTAAAGAACTTCTTCCTTATATCTAACCTAAAATTCCCCTGTTTAAGTTTGAACCCATTACCCTTTGTCCTATCATCACAGTTCCTAATGAAGAGTCCCTCTCGAGCATCCTTGTAGGCCCCCTTCAGATACTGGAAGGCTGCTAGTTCTGATGAGAATTATACATGTATGGTAAGACTTAAAACAAGATTGCTATACTTCAAAGAATGAGAATTCATCATTGCATTAGATGACAGATAGTAATTAATAGGCCTTTTCAGTTAAAAAATCAGGACTGTATAAGTGGAACCCAGTGGAACTGATGGGACTCTACTGCAAGAAAGTTTAGAGCAGACACTTCAGCCCAAACTGCTGTGGGAGGAGTCTTGTGACACCAGTGCTGCAGTGTGGTTTTAGCTAGCCTGCTGGCTTGGTGTAACTCATCCCTTGTGTGTTTTGTCAGACATGACTCACTAATGTGGCCTAAGCGCTAGGCTCAGTGTGTTTGTGTTCACATTATTGTCACAAATCTGATTAGAAAACTTTATATTGGCCACACTGCTTATTTTAAGATCATCCATGTGTCTTATACAGTGAGACTAAGAATTAAGGGATTTTGAGAACTCTTAAAATCAATAAAAATCTAATTTGAGACATATTATGGTGGAAATACCAAATGCTGTCTTTGAAAATGCAGAGTAGAATCTGGAAGTTGCATAGTAAATGGAGCAGGACTTTGAGCAGTTATTCAGTAAGAGTGCTGGTTGCTATTGCCTTGAATATGGGGGGATACTTTGAAAAACTGGCTGAGTTATTGGGTATAGTCATACAAAGCATAGGCTGTCTATTGTACACTTTGGTTTTGTCAGCTTTTTAAATGAAAGGTTTGAGAACTTCCTCTTGTGAACTAGCACAGCTTGTTCATTCTGTGTTCTTTAAAATCCAGGTTCCTTGAATCAATAGAGTTTTTAATCCCTTATTTTTCATGGAGGTTAAGTTACATTCTGGGTTGTGGTGTGTAAGTGTAGGGATTATCTCTCAGCAAGACATCTTTCTTAATTGAGAACATTTTAAATGTACCCATTAATGGCAATTTAGCTCAAGTTTCCCAAGATGTTGATTTATAAGGGCAATACTAAATCTGTCACTAAGGAACTTAAAATTAACTTTACATTCTTCTTTAATTTCAGGGGCAAATTTGCAGTGGTGAAGAAGTGTATCCAGAAAGACACTGAAAGAGAGTTTGCAGCAAAATTCATGAGAAAAAGAAGAAAGGGCCAAGACTGTCGGATGGAAATAATCCATGAAATTGCAGTCCTTGAGCTGGCACAGTGCAACCTTTGGGTCATTAACTTACATGAAGTTTATGAAACTGCAACAGAGATGATTTTAGTCCTGGAATAGTAAGTACTAGTAATAATTCCTGACTAGCCTTCTGCAGTGTTTGCTTCAAACTAATAATGTAAAAATACTATGTGTCAATAATGTGAAAATACTTTGCTTGCCTGTTACACTTGCTTGAGTTCCAGAAGAATTGCTAAGAAAATCAGTATTGCAATAAGTCTTGTAACTACTGCAGATTATAAATTTATCCAATGATGTAGTATCTTTCAAAGCTGAACTAGTTTATGTAGTTAAATCATTAGTGAAATAAGAACTATGTACACTCCCTACTTGTAAAAAAGGAAGAAGCGGTGAGCATGTGTTCAAAAACTGAAGTATATTTCATTGACAGTGACAAAGATGGGGTAAAATCTGGGGTTTTTTTTTTACCAGTTATGAAAAAGATACTGAAAGCAACATCATTATTAAAAAGAAACTATCAAAACCCCCTATGATCTACAATGAAAAACTCTGCATCATTATCTGTTGGGGAAAGAAAGAGAGTAAGAGGATTCAGACCTAGAACAGCTTTTCAAATGACATTTATCTTTTGACTCTATGTTTGTCTGTGTGGTTTTCTCCCCTTGAATTTGTCCAGATGGATGTTTCTGCAGCTGCTGTGACAGTCCATCTAATATGCCAGTGGCTTAGATATTTGACATGTAGGTGCAAGAAACAGCCAAATATTTGTTGCTATTGAACTCTATTAAGAGATCCTGTCCAACCTCTGTGGATTTTAAATAATTAGGAGAGGAAGAGTGATGCTCACCAGTTCAGAAGTGACTTAACTTGTCTGCTAAGATAAATCTAGTTTATATGGCTCTTTTCTTGCTTGACAGCAAAAAGAAACGTTAAGAAAACTCATGTCCCAGTCTGATCTTGTTTAGAAGTCCAAAGAAACTGTATCTTTGAAGCTCAGTGAAATGGAATGACACCGTGTCTGCTAAGGCAAACTTCCTGCTGGAATATGTTTTTTCAACTTCATTGTGCCTTTATTGAATTCATGAAATATTCAACTATCTGTTATAATGCAAAGGTGTGACAGAGCTTATGGAGTTTTAACTGCAGTTATTGGAGACTCATAAATACATGCTTTAAACACTAGCAGCACAGACCTAACTAGAATAGAGTTTAAATGTCTGGATCCCCATAGGGATATAGTATAAACAGTAGAATCCAAAGCTTGATAAACTGATGGATTTTGTGATAATTTTATTGCAAAATTGCTAGTTTTCTTTTAGAGCTCAATACTCTTACAACTGCAAAACCTTTTTAATCCAAAGTATTAACTAGGTCATTCAGTAGACACCAGGTTGTTCAGTAATTAGCAACATTATTGGGTTTATATGCATCAGTCATACCTTGCTTCAGATAGAGAGCTGTGTGTTAGAATTGTAAATTACAAAAACAGTCTTCCCCTGACTTCAGCAAATATGTCTGGATGCTTCTTTAGTGTCAGCATGTTCCAGGGACATGTTGCAACAAAACAGGTATGAATGTTAGTAAATTTCTGACATTCTGTTTGCAGAGGATTAAAGAATGTACCTAGACTGTGAGCTTCTCCAGGGCATTTCGGCCTGTGTTCAGCTTGATGGCCTGTGTGGCTGATTTTTTATCTTGGGAAGGAGAAAAACAAATACTTAATCGTTGGCCACTAACTTTTTCTGCTAAGGTTTTCAAGTATCCTCAACATAAGAAGGACATGAAGCTGCTGAAACAAGTCCAGAGGAGGCCATGAGAATGATAAGGGGACTGGAACATGTGCCTTATGAAGACAGGCTGAGAAAGCTGGGGCTGTTCAGCCTGAAGAAGAGAAGCTGCGTGGAGACCTCAGAGCAGCTTCCAGTATCTGAAGGGGGCCTATAAGGATGCTGGGGAGGGACTCTTCATCAGGGACTGCAGCGACAGGACAAGTGGTGGTGATGGGTTCAAACTGAAACAGGGGAAGTTCAGGTTAGAAATAAGGAAGCAATTCTTCCCTGTGAGGGTGCTGAGGCGCTGGCACAGGGTGCCCAGAGAAGCTGTGGCTGCCCCATCCCTGGCAGTGTTCAAGGCCAGGTTGGACACAGGGGCTTGGAGCAACTTGCTCTAGTGGAAGGTGTCCCTGCCCATGGCAGGGGGTTGGAACTGGATGAGCTTTAACACCCTTTCTGACAAAAACCAGTCTGGGATTCTATGATTCTCTGTTGAATTCTAAGGGGTGCAGGGGACACCTAGTGCTTTGTCTTCATGAAGAGAAATACTGTTACATGCAGGGTTGTCTTTCCAGCAGTATCAATTTTTGACAGAAAACAGAGTTGCCCTCTAACTGTTGCCTGTTAAGTGCTGAACAATGGGAAGCAATGAGGCATTACAGTGTTGGCTTCAGCTCTAGAATAGCAAATCAGTGCCTGTCTGCATCCCCCTTGACAACAGTTTCTGACTTCTGTTTGTTGTCACAAGACCTTAGGGTATTCAAGGCGTTGAAGAGCTAAGTCCAAAAGGGTAGTATATAGAGCCTGGACTTCACCTGTGGGTCAGCCATGTTTCTGTATTTCAGTGTAAATGGAATGAATTAATAAAAAAGGGAAGTGGGACTTGTACTGCAAAAGGCAGGGATACAGACTGGTAAAACTGACACATCACATATAAAAGGAAAAAAAAGCAAATTTAGTAACTTGGGCTCAATATTTGTAGGTGACCTACCTGGCTTTTTCCAGTTTCTTTTGAAAGAAAGAGCAACAGAACATCTGATGCTTAAGAACTAGCGCTTTTATAAGGGTTCATCACTGTATGTTTATACATCTATGGGACAGATAGATGATATTAGTGAGTCAGATAGTACAGAAACTTGTATGTGTAACTTCAAAATCGAAGCCATTGAGTATTTTTAGGTGAACTGAGTAAATACCTGCCAGCATCTTGTATAAATACAGTAGCATTTTTTTAAGCTTAGTTTAAAAAAAAATTAAAGCCATCATCTTTCTTATCTTGAAGGCACAGTCAGGGTTTATTGGATATGCTGGATGAAGTGCTTTTTTCACCTATAGTTATTTGGACCTGGATAATGTTACTACTTGTGTTGTCTTGGACATTACTTACAGTCCTAGTTACTGGAGGTGTGACTGATCAGAGTCTGCTTGCCAGAAATGATTCATTTGGCATGAGAATCAACAGACAGAACTTGAAGCAAAACCACTGGAATCAGAAATAACGGTGCTGCTCTGATGTTTGCATCTTGTCTGTTGCTGTAATTGACAAAGTTGTTCTAAACAGCAGACTCAAAGCAAGACTGGAGCTCTTCAGAAGGTTTTAGGGGAAAACTTTTCAACTGGTGTTGGTTACCTTTTGCTTCTCTTTCATGCAGTTCTTGAGTGGCCTGATCTAAAAAGTTAAGACCCCCCCAAATAAAGGCATTTGTCTGAGAACCAAGAACTTAAAAGAATAGTATCTACAACTTACTGCATTTGGATGCTTCTCTTCACATATGTCCTCTCACCAGAGATGGATTTACAGTTTTCTCAGGTTTTGGGGATGTTGGTATGTTGTAGTAGCCTTACACTGGAAAAATTTATAGTAAATTCACTTCTTGCTTAGCCAAGGAAAGGGGGGAATGACTGTCAACAGCGGTGAATGTGAACCTCCTTTGCCGATAGCATTACAAACACCTTGCTTGATCTTCTTGTAATATAAGCTCTGTATACAGAAAACAGATGAATTTCCATTTATCTTCCAAAGAAAAGCCTTTCCAGAAAGGCTTTTGACAGAGCATAAGGTTCAAGAAGTAAATTTTTGGGTCTTGCAGACTGTATATGGTCTCAGCATTTGAAATGAAGTGTGTTCTAGCAACTAGCCTATGTATCTGTGCTCCAAGGATTTGCACTTCTGAGTCTTTTAAAAGACTGTCTTAATGCCTGACCCATTAAAGCTGGGGGAATGTTTAATTTTCTCTGAGGCACTGAACTAGATTTGTTCAACCTTTTTCTAATGATAGACTAAATGACTGTGTTCATGTACTGTAAGTGCACTTGAAAGAGGTCGGATGCTGAATTCCACACAGTGCATTGTTAAGATATGTTTCAAGGAAGATAAGCAGTCTCCACTGAATTGAAAGTCAACATGATTGTAACAAAGATTAATGCTCCAGACTTCTAAATGACTTTTAGCTCCTTTATGCTGATAAGCAGTAATAAAGTGTTAGCATGCTTTTCACTGATGAAGAGCAGTTAGATTTCACTTGAAACTGCAGGGAAGTTAATAGCACAACAGTGCTTTCATAAACAAATTAAAATAGCTGAAGCATTCTGGTTGCCTTAGCTTTTAAGTCTGAAAAAAGTTCTTATGTCTTGCACTTTCCATACACCTAGCTAAGGGAGCATGCACTGGAGAAACAATGCATTCCAAGCAACACTGGATTTCAAAACCTTGTGCTCTTAAATATTTCCTTATCAATTCTTTTTTCAGATTGATGGCTTGTTTTCCTAAAGACTTTCTTGTCCTGAGGACAATGCTTTGCTTTTATCCCATAGGAACGCTTTCTGTGGAGGTGGGTGGGGGTGCCCAGTGGTTTGCAAAGTTGTTATTTCATAATGACCATTCAAAAAGATGCAGCTTAATGGAAAATGTGTTCTTAGAGGAAAAATGGGTAAATGTTACGACCACCAGCGAACTCCTGCTCTGCTTGTTTCAGAAAGCATTGCAATGACATGCCCATAATACTTTCCTAGCTACTAGGAAGAAAGTTGACTCTATCCTAGCCGAAATCAGCACATATGTATTTTAATCCCTTCTGTATTTGGATTATTTTTTTCCCCTGAGCTCTAGCTAAGGACTAAAAAATAACTGAATTGAAAGTATTGTTAAGGAGCTTGTCAAAATTTGGCATAGGTGTGTGGGAGAACCTTTCTGGAGGTTGTTTTGAGACTGTACTCCCAACACTTGTGACTGGGTTGGCTCAGAACCACTGACTGTTTTGCTTAAGGGAATCAGTTAAGCTCACTCCCCAGCAACAATACACGGAACAGGCTGGCAGTAACATATTTCCCCATGTTCTTGTAAAGGGTTGCTGGTTACTTGTTTCAATATGGTTATTTTTGGATAGAAGTTGTCTGGAAGAAGTTATTCCAGCTGCATCCTAAATAGCAGAGTTGATTAAAAAATGAATCTGTTTTGTAAAGCTAAGTGTATTTGTCTGTGGTAGCTGGGAATAGCTCTCCTAAGTCAAGAAGTGGGTTTGAATGTGTAAGGGCTCTATTTGCTTGTCTCACTCTTACAAATGCTGATGAACCTAGAAATCTTTCAAAGTACTGTGAGGTACTTGAATACCTTTAAAGAGAAAAAGTCTTCAGAATCAAGGGGTTTGTACTCTCATTGGGTAGTACTACCTGTTGGTTTCAGTGATGGGACATTGTCTCCTTCAACTGGCATTACCTTGACTTTTAACACATTGAATTGAAAGTTCTTTAAGTATTGTATTAAAATTCTATGTAGCTTAAATTTTAGCTTGGTGCCTACTTCAATGTTAATTTGCTTATTAGTGTAACCTAATTGTAACAGATGTCTATCAGGTAGACGTATAGCAAACACGGCTTTGTAACACCTGCCCTTTGCTGAGTTTTCAGCTGGGTCTGTTAAAAATACAGTGTGATCCCTGGCGGGCAACAGCAGGTTTTGGGTATAAAGCAGATTTCACAGAATTCAATGGGAGAAGTATTGTTTTGCTTATTTTAGGTGGCAGAGCTACACCAGCAAAATCCTAGGGTTGTTGCTGTAAAACACATTATGTTAGTAATTTTGGTAGTAGATCTTATCACTGTATGTGCATGATAATTTACTGCTACAAGGAAAGAAATCATTCTTCCAAGTAACTTACTGTGGCATATTTAAAGTAGAAACTTTAATTTATTGATTACAGTAGACTTTTCTCCTATCCCTACCTCGAAGATCCACCTGATGTTGCTTTTTAAAGGAACTTGTTTTAGAATATTAGAATAAACTGCCCCATGTCCAGTTTTAAAATGTCATTAATATCTGAATCCCATTCCAAGCTGAAATATTACTAATTGTTTTCCTTGAATTCAAAGCGTGCTGAAGAAAGATGTGATGGTGTCAGGCATATGCAATTTTTTTAGAGGAATTAAAGTATTAATATTCCTTTGAAAGCCTCATTTTATACTTGAGCTCCTTCATCTTTGAGGAAAAAGAATTTTGTGGACATTTCTTTTCTAAAAGAAATTCTTAGTTTAATAAATCAAATTGTACTCCTGTAGCAGTTACCAGCATCCTGAACACAAATATAAAACACTTTAGAAAGAGTTAAGATGTAACCCTCTTCTAAATCCTTTTTGCTTGTAAGACAATCTGCAGGGAGCTTTTTAAATCACAGTAATGAGAATATCTGAGAAGGCAAAAAAACTTCTTTATAAACCATGAGGACTGTAGCAGCAAAGCTAGTATAGGCAAAATGAAAACTGGAGTATATTTAAGCGTTCTTTTTTAGGGGGTGCATAATCCAAATGCACCATTGTTAGAAATCTCATTTCCTGTTGTATTTTTGTTGGCGATGCCTCTGTCTTCTGGATTGCCCAGGTAATGTAAGTCATTAGAAAAGTGCAAGCAAAGGCAGAGTAGATGGCTACAGGTCAATAAAGATTAATGCTTCTGCAAAAAGTCATGTTTGGCATGTCGCAGTTTGGGGTAACTGGAGAAGTTGCTGTCCTCAGGGCTTTCACCATCTTTCACCAAGGGGCAATTACAGAACTTCATGCAGAATGAAGAGTGTATGTGTTGATTTCATAGTGGTAATTCAACAATGGTAGTAATGCAAAATGGCCCCATTCCAATGCTCTTACGCCCGTTCTTGTTTTAAAATGGAGCCTCTGCTCTGCTTATTTTACTTCTGATGCTACATGATTATGTGGCTTCAGAGTACTTTAAAAACAGTCATTCACCTCCAGTTCTTTTTACATCTTTTGTTACTTTGCTATTTATTTAAAAATACAGAAGCAAAAGATGAGGGTGCAAGCGGAGAGCTAAGATTTTCACAAGTGTTTAGATGAGTCGTTTAGAAACTTAATGCATCCCTATATGCCAGAGACTTCACAAACAATGCAATTATAGACTTTACTTAGAGTCCTTCGTGTATGTGCAGAGTGTTTGTAGGAGGGTGGGGATGGAGCTGTTTTGCTTTGTGTTCGCAAAGGCTTACCTTGGCCAAGTGACCATGTAGTTTCATAGCTATGGTGAAAGGCGCATCTTTTATGTTAACACTGCTCTTAAACAAATGTGGCATTCATATAAAAGCACGGTCAGCAGTGGCTCCAAAGTAGTCCCCAAACCTTCTGTAGCATTCACATTCTCTAACCTAAATGACTAAGGTCTTCGCTTCTCTCCAAAGGTGCTCCGCTGCAGAGAAGTCTTCCTAGGCTCTAAAAGCGTGCCAAATGTTTAAGAACTGAGAATACCACTGTGGATGCTGCTGCCCACTGATCTTGCTTGCTCTAAATAAAATAGTGCAAGTAGAGCAAAATGGGTGCTATAATTGAAATAATAAAATTCGTGTTGTCCCATAGTGCTGCTGGAGGTGAAATCTTTGACCAGTGTGTGGCTGAAAGAGAGGAAGCCTTCAAAGAAAAGGATGTTAAACGACTTATGAAGCAGATCTTAGAAGGAGTTTCATTCTTGCACAGAAACAATGTGGTTCATCTTGACTTAAAGGTAAGATTGTTGCTGTATTTTGCTCGTTAATTTCTTATCTGCTGGCTTTGTCATTGGCTATATGTCATACTAATGCTAATTTGTAATTAATACAATTTTTATCTACTTATTCTTCAAACGATAAAATTCAGCATTTGGGATGCAGATTTGGGGAGTTTTCTATGATTATGTCAAATATAAACTTCATTTGATCAGTGAAATGTAATGAATTCATAAGGGGATTTACCTTGTACCTTAAATTGCAAATGAGTGCTTTGGGTAAGACCTGACTTGTTTTTTAAGTGCAGTATGGTTAAGAATGGAATTGTAACAGGGGTCCAGAAAAGCTATTGTCTCCCAGGCTGCAGTTAATCTTATCCACACACTCTTATGGAAGATGCAATTTTATCTCATTTTGAGCTTGAACTACTTTATTACTAAGCAAGACAGTATAAAAAGTATCTTGCATTGAAATTTTTGAATTCTTTTTCCGTGTCCAATTCCCATATTTACTAAGTATGTAGTAAGCTGCTACACACTTGTTCTGTTGCTGAGGTCCTTACTTACACTTAGTTGCGTTTTGGCAGTATTACAAAGCTACCAGTAGACTCCAGTATCAAGCTGTACATACTTCATCTATAACCTAGCACATCATGAACCATTCATCAGCTAAAGCAGACGATGGGTAATATTTGCACATAAATATGACACCTGCCTGGTTTTCTAACCAATCATTGAAATTATCTGTGGAATTCTGTAAGACTTTCTGTAGCCCACTGATTTCATGCACATAGAATATTAATAATTGTATGAAAATAATGAGTGGAAAATTTTAGCAAGTGATGTGAGAATTAGTGTTCAGAAGGACTCACAACGAGCAGTTAGAATTCCTTAAAGTTCCAGTATGCTCAGACAAGATGCTCAGTGTTGGTTGGCCATTGAATTTCCTTGAAGCAAAGTGTGTAAAATAAAAACAAGTTCAGAAAAAGCTTACTTTAAAAACGTTCCAACTGATCAGAAAACTTGGATTATAAAACTGAGACTATCTAGTTCTCACTGAAGGATCCAGCATCGCTTTGCTGCCTTATAAAAGTTAAGTAGCAGAGCAAATTGTCTGATGTTTGAGTTTATTATGCTTATATGTTGCTGCAGTGTGTGCAATGTGCTTTTGAAAAGTGGATCTTAATAGGAGTCCTAATTGCAGAGTGATTACTTTCATGACATAGAAGGTCTTAAGCAAAATAAGGTTTAGGGAAGTCTTCAGAATACTGGCAAACAAAGAGGCTGGAAACTGGATTAAAACCCATGACTTGTGAAGATTGGTTGACCCACACACCTTGCAAGACTTTAAGAAAGGGCCATTTTTCAAGGAACTCAAAAACTGAATTCGGGTGCTGGTTTTGGCTGCATGTTTATTAACATACTGGCCTCAATCTTCTCTTGATATATTATGGCTCATGCTGGTTTTCCTAGTGGCTTACAGCACTATGGAATTTACTAAATACTTGATTTTGTAGTCACATTTGGAAGACTTATGCAAGTGTACTTGCTGTTAAGCAAAGTGTTTGCTAGGATCAAAAAGCTTACAGATTCTTGCTAAAATGTTTTCCATGCTATTAGTTTCACCTTTGGTTCTCTAAAGGTTTCCTTTTTCATTTGTCTGGTACAGATAACTTTGCAAAGGTCCATCCAATTTTCCATGTGTTGCACCTTCAAAAAAATCAGGCTCTACACCCAGAAGAATTTAAGTCAAAATGATTGTCAGTATGTGACTGACAGCTGCTTTATAATGTAGTCTTACATTATAAATCTAATTAATGACACTGACAGCTAGCTTGCTTTAGCTTCTGCCTGTCTCTTAATTGATGAAAGATACATTCTGTGAGACTAAAAACTGCATGTTAACAGAGGGGTATTGTGATGTGGCTTACTTAGCAAGGTTGCCACCTGATCATTTCTTTCTGAAAGACAGTTGAAAAATGGCTTAGTTTTAATAGCAAAATACAACCATGTAATCCAGCTTTGACTTGGAAAAAGAGCAAATATAACCCTACAGAGTGCAAATTAAGTATCACTTGACAGTATCGTGTTGATGCTATTTAATTCGCAGGGTGTGCATAGATTGTAGTCAGGAGTCTTTCATCTCCTCTTAAATGGTGCATAAAAGCTGCAGAGTAAGGGAAGACTCCTTCCTCTGTTTTCATTTGCTGTTTGACTTCAGCTTGAATTGGTGTTTGGTGAAAACTTAAGGTAGTTGGGAATGGAAGAGAATTATAAAGGTATGGAAGCTGAGGAAGGATCAGCTGCCTCTTGCCTGCAGCAGAGATAGGTAGAGCCTTACATAGCCCTGGGGTCTGGGAGAATGACTGCTCCAAGCAGCACTCTCCTGTACTATATATTATCACTCTGGTGATCCAACAGACAGCTTTTCCCTTCCTCCTCCTGTATTGTGTTCAAGATGTTACATTCAGTGAGGACAACTAGCAAAATAATTTGAAATTATTTCAGGTGTTGTTTTACCCCAAAATTCAGAAAGCAAACTAGTGCAGTTACAAAAGAAGGAACGCTGCAGATTTCAACTGAGTTTTCCAGGAGGATTAAGGTGGAATGTTCATTACACAGAAATGGAGTATTAATAGAAGCGTAGTATTCTTTGTCTAAAGGAATATCCAGGAAACTAAGAAAAGAGTTGTAATTTAAAATATCAAGTTTGCAAGGCAAAAGAACAATTTAATCCGGAGTTCAAACCTTTAGAGCAAAGCTGTTTGCTAGGAGACAGGCATAGAGTATCCAGGTTCTACAAAACCTGTTTTGACTATAGTCTTGTTTCTTAATTTATAGGACTTTCATAGTTTATTTTGGGGAATAAAGTGTAATTCATGTCTAGTATGTCTACTCTTTAAGTGACCAAAAAAAATCCCAAATCCTTATATTTAATTTCTTAATGGTATGAAGCTCTTTAGCTATTTTTAGAGTAGATTGATCAGCCTAATTTAGTGTCTGTACACACAATGTAGCTGGGGTGTCCCAGCTAGTCTGTTTTTCATGTTTCTGTCCATTATTCCTTGGATAATTCCTGTCTTCTTTCCTAGGGATCTGATCTATTTTTACAATATTATAAAAATAGATACGTAACTTCATTAATGTTGCAAGTTAGGGTGAGGCAATGATTAGTTTAAAAACATGACCTTTATTATGTATCCTTAGTCATACTCGTCTTGAAAACAGCTAAAGATACAGGAGATAGCAGGACGAGAGGCTCATAGAAACTTCTGGAATAATGGCAAATTTGCAATGTATGGATTTCGCCATTATTTAGTTTAGAAGATTCCGAAACCTGCTGCCAAGGTAGGGGTTTAGGGTATCCCATCCTATTTTACTAAGCACATTTCTTAGGAAAAATAATTGTGCAGAATAAGCTTTCAGAGGAGACTAGATCTTTGTTCAGAGGAGACTTGATCTACATTGCCTTAGTTTGGCCTTTTCATTGACATTCATGGTGTCAAGGAAGCCGTGTTCTTCATGTGACAATAGCTTAGTCCCATTTAAGTCAAAAATGTAGAAGTGGTTAATATCTGCAATGATAAATGATGCTTTTCACTCCTATTACTCTTAACTTGCTGATACAGATACAACCGACACAGCAAATTCCTGAAGCCCAAGTTTCTGGTTGTTGACAGTATGCCTGGAAAAGACAACTTACTGGCTTCTTGTTATAATCTTTCCCAAGATACCTGTTTCTGGCTGTGCTACCTGAGGCACTGGGCTAGACTCCTGTGGCTATAGCACATGGTTTTTGTGCATATACCAATCCTGTAGTGAAGTACATCCAGTCAGATTGCCCAGTTAGCCAAGGATTTTTCACTACATTTGTTTGGTGCACAACACAAGAGGATCTAAATCGGCACATTTAAGCCTTACTGCACTAGAGGGGGAGGGTTTTAACTGTTGCCATTTGACAGTTTTCATCAGCCATTTCATTATTGCTTGATGGTAAGAGTGAAAGGCCCTTTTTAGAATGGCTACGAGGAGAGCCTCTGGCCTGCATCTCTCTTGCCTCTGTGGGCTGATCAATGTTAGGCAAACCTAGATGTGCTATAGTACAGGAAAACCAAAACAGAAAGAGTGCTACAGATGTGTGAAAATGATCTTCCTTTTCTTAAAGTTTTGGAGTAATTGTGTCAAGCTGAGAACTATGGTAAGTTCAAAAGCTATGGCTTCTGTAAGGTTTCATACTGGTGTTTAGACTGTCACTTAACATGAACCCCAGAATGATTCCTTCAAAGAAGAAAACAACTGGTATTTCATTATGAATTGATTTAGGGCTATGACTCAATTCATACTGTAGGGTATTTCCTGCATAGGTGTGTTTTGAATAAGAAGATCATTTTTGGAAAAAAGACAATAAAAACTTATTCTGGCAAGTACATTATCTGCTAAAATACCGTAATACAGGCTTAAGGGTTTCACACAGTTTCCATTAAAAACTTTCCCTCTTTTAAATATAAAGAACAAATGCTTTTCTTGTGCTTTCTATTTGCCTCTTCAGAAAGTAGCTAAATTTCCCACTGGGAGGAACATCTGAGAGACTAATTAGGGAGGCCTGGTCAGCTTTTTTGGATGTTTGCTTTTCTAATACAAATACAGAATAACAAATGTGAACAAGAAAGCATGTGGTAATGCACAGCTCCCAAAGCCTTTGTGCAGCCACCAGATACCAGTTTGTAAGCAAAAACCCAAAAAGCTTAATACATGGATTTGTAAACAGAAAATAGATTGACAACATGGTGAGTTAGTTTGAAATCCTGTGGTTTCCCTTTGCAGGAATGGAAGACTGGCCAGAGGCTTTTAAAATGTTCTTGCACGGTTTTACTTGTGTGTTCAAAAGCAAGGCTGTCCGTGTGAAAGCACGCCTTCATGACTGACAAGGGGGTGAGAACAGCTCTGTGATGAGGGAAATAGTATAAATGCTGCTGTTAATCCATGTGGATTATCAGCCAGTGGTTGCTTTGGTGTTCTTACTCTTTTGCCTTCTTCCTTCCTCAACCACCCCTGATGCAAGATGATCCAGGTTCCCAATCAGGGCTTCTTCACTTTCATGGGACCCCTGGCTCACCACAGGCATGAAGGTAGTGTCAACTGTCAGTGTTACCATTCAGAGAAGCTCATAATAGAACCCGAAGTGATTATTGGCCTGGGGGCAGGGAGGGTCATACCTTTTTTCTTTCTTTTGGCAAGGATATGCTTCAGTTGCAAAACCTCCCGAAGACCTGTCGTCTAAAGTTGGTTTTCAAACTTTTTAAACCGAACTAGCATTTAAAATAGATGGTAAAGAACTTCTTAATGACCACAGAGTTGCTTTGAAGGATGACAGCCAGGATCTAGTGACGTCAGAGCAAACAAGTTTATCCAAAGGTGATGCTCTTAAAAACCTGTTTTTCAGGCTGCTGTATTTTTTTAAACTGTTCTTCAGTTAGTGTTCTGTAATGCAGTTGTTTGTACTTTGAACAGGATTGAGGTTGGTTGCAACAGACTTTCTTTAAACAGGTGTAGTCAAAACAGTTTTGTGTGTTCAGGCTTTTTAATAAGATGGGGTGTTTTTGGACACCCTTCCACAGGAGGCATTTTTACACCATCTGTTGGTAGGAAGCAAGCAGGGGAATTTAACAGATGATATGGAGGACTAAAGGTGCAAATGTGAAGGTATTCATAGGCTATTGTTAAATGACAGCTATTGGCATGTGGTTTGTATGTGTTCCAAGCTAGTAAACATAGATGTGTGATTCTCAGTTATAAACAGAAAATCCTGCCACTCCTTTTAGCCTACGTGTCTCTTCAAATTCACCTTGGGGGAAGTGAATAAATGATCCTGGGTATTGGACTTGTTACGGAATGCATTATTGCTGCTCATGATCTAAAAGAATTATGCAATATGGTGTCATGGACATTATATTTGGGTGATCCTGAAAATCTCCTTTTGTTTTTCAGCCCCAAAATATTCTACTAACCAGTAAGTCTCCTCTGGGAGACATTAAGATAGTAGATTTTGGCCTTTCCAGAATAATGAAGAGCAGTGAGGAACTAAGAGAAATCATGGGAACTCCAGAATATGTAGGTAAGTTGTTACTATAGTGAGTGATGTATAATCTCAGCTTTTGAGGAGTGGAGAGCCCCTCAATTTGGTGAATGAATATTTGAGCCTGTGGAGGTTGGTATCCATTTTATTTTAATATATGTATATACACAGATGTCATTCTAGGCCATGAAAATACACTTGAAAATATCTCTAAGATATATGGTGTGCCTTTATGGGTATGGTTTTCAGTGCTGGAATATGGAATATTGGATATTTCTGATTTTTCTGTAAGAAATTTGTATACAGCTTCCTTAATAGCAAAGGAGACTGGCCTGGCTTCTGAAGATAGCAATCAAAGGAAAATGATTTTTTTTAACTTAAAATCAATGAATGCTACTAATCACTTGAATAGAAATATCTTCCTTTCAAAAGACTATCATGCTTCAAATAGCTTGTCATAAATTTTACTACATGCCCATGATCTCACTATATAACTACAATATAATGTCTGCATATGACAAAAAAGATCTTGGTTTCTTTCCCCTCAATAGCTCCTGAAATTCTGAGTTATGACCCCATCAGTACAGCAACTGACATGTGGTAAGTTGGACAAATTAACAGTCTTCATAGCTGGCTTTACTGAAAAGGGGTTTGTTTTGGTCTAAAAACTAAAAAGCTGCTTCTCTGTGTTTTGATTTAGGAGCATTGGAGTCCTGGCATATGTCATGCTAACAGGGATATCCCCTTTCTTAGGGGATGATAAACAAGAAACATTCTTAAATATATCCCAAATGAACGTAAGTTACTCTGGAGAAGACTTTGACCTCGTATCAGAGTCTGCCGTGGATTTCATCAAAACTCTGCTGGTTAAGAAACCCGAGTAAGTAAAATACACAATTGTGTAAGTCAGTATGTCAGACTGGATTAATTTTAAATACAGCAAGTGCTGGCATTGCCATTTCTAAAGTATAAAGGAACTTTGATTATTCAGATTTCATTAGGCTATTACTTTTCTTGGATATGGAAAGAGAAATCCTCCATTTCCCTTCGAACCTGCGTATTCTGAATGTGTCCAAACTCAAATCGATTTCGGAAAGCTGTTTGAGCTGTAGCATGTGATACAGAATATTGACTTTCCTTGCAGGTACTTTGCTGATGTCTTTTAAATGACCCATGCTTTGAGCCTTTTATTTTTGCTTAAGTGCCTTACCCTGTTCTGGTTTGTTAGTTGCTTTTCTTGATGGGCAGCAAACTGGAAATTCCAGGTCTCAAACTACAAGAAAACTACTATTGAAGCTGCACTATTTGTCTATGGGGATTCCTTATAAAGACTGGATAATTTTGGATAATTTGTATGGATGTCTTCTGCAAGATAGATACTGCATTTCAAAGTCATTTGGATATTTATTCCAACACTTTCCTTCCTCTGCAGGGACCGGGCAACTGCTGAAGAGTGTCTTCAACATCCGTGGTTAGAACAAAGTGATAATCCTGCTTGTAGGCCCTGGAAGGAGAGTACAGGAGGGGAGACCAGTGATGTCACCCAGAAAGATGCAGATTCTGCCTCTGAAAAATCAGTTGATGCTGAAAAGACCGAAGAGGAGGAATCTATAGTGACAGAAGAACTAATTGTAGTGGCTTCATATACACTGGGACAATGTAGGCAGTCTGAGAAAGAAAAAGCAACTGAGCAGAAAGCCATTTCCAAACGATTTAAATTTGAGGAACCATTACTGCAAGAAATACCAGGAGAATTCATTTACTGAACTGTGTGGAGCTTCATAGCTGTAACTGGAAGGCAGTGGTTCCTACTAAACAAAAATATCCTAGCCAAGTGAATTTCTGATATGCAATAAATGTTCTAGATAAAAGAAAATGTTGATAAATGGCATTCAATGAAAATGTGCCAAGCTTCTAATTCCATGGAACAGATAAGATTTCAAGTGGCTGACAGGAACTTAACCAAGATAAAAAGCTTTTTTTTGTTTGTAACATTTATTTCTGTTTTTGTTGCTGGATAGCAGAGTTTTTGTTAATTGTTCCAGTGTTCTGGAGAAGTTGACATTGGAAATGTTTCAGTGACACATGTCAAGAGGAGTATTTTAGGTTATGTTTTGGCATTTAATGCAAATATATAAGGCTGAGTTTTCCTCAAAAGCCTCTTAGCACTCCTGACTTCAGTGGAATTATCTACTGATATAAAAAATTGTATGAGAGGAGAATTTGATCAACTGGTTTGACGTACAGATTTCAAAGTTATACTGTGTATATATTTCTGCTTACATCAAGTCAAAGACCCAGACTCATCTGATGTATAGCCAAACAGTAAGCTGCTCTTTCTCTAGAGAGAGATACACATGTCCCACAGGTAAAGAACTCTGTATCTGGGAACAATTTCAGATCACAGTGGTGATACTTCTTTATATGGGAGCACAGTAAACTCCTGCTCCAGAGGGTGATGAATTTGCTTCAGTCACTCTTGAGAGCCGGCAGAGATCGCCCCCCTTCCCTCCTGTGTTGGGTGAGATGTGCTGATAGAATCCAGCTCTGTGTGACTGCGCAGTGTTGAGAAGTGGAAAAAAGAATGACAGAGGGTCTGATCCAGCATTGAACTTCTCTCCATGTTAGATTGGACAGTTTGTCCAACTAATGATAAATCAGCCCTTGATTCCACCTCCCCCAGAACCCAGCTGGGGATTTACTGGGATTATGAGGTCACTTCTGCCTTATATTTCTCTTCCTCTAACCGCTGCTTTAAGGAAGAAAGAAGCATCCTTAGGCTAAATTGCATAACCTTGTTCAATATAGTTATCAGATGGGGAAGAAGGTACCACTTCCTCTGAAACAGTGAAGCACAACTCATGCCTCATGCTTTCCCTTAGAGACTTGGAAAAACAGCATGTGTATGATGGGGCAGAGCAGGATTAGGGAGCTGTATGGATGGGTCATAGTTCTCAATGGATGTGGTCCCTCAGAGGGCAAAGCTGGGACCAACTGGGCATCAAAATTGACTGGTTTTTGCAATGTACAGGTCTGAGGATCTCAGACTAAGTCCTAGTTTTCTAAGAAATCTTTCATATCGATGCTGTTCCAAAGTTTAAGTTTTATGTAACTGAAGTTTAGTACTATTCTATTGCATACTGTTAACTATTCAACTATTTATTTGGTTTCCTTATGCTGTTCCTTTATAATAAACCCTGACAAAAGTTTTCTTGCTATAAAACAATGAATAGAAACTCTTAAGCTAGTTTTTTATTTCCATGTTGCTACAGACTTCCCTAATTTCAAATGGACCAATGATGGTCTTACTCTTTTTAGTGAACAGGAGCTCAGTGCTCTGTGCTGGTATTACAGTCTCTCCTTCACACAAAAGGTAAATGGCTTATTAATAACATGAGCAGTGCTGGGGTGATCTGATTAGCATTGCTAAGGGTGGGAGAAAAGCACTAGTAAAGAAGAAAGCTGTGTGACACCGAGGGGGGCAATGAGCATTTTTCAATGAGGCTTCATTGCTTGAAGCCACATCAGAAAACTTGCACTTAAATTGAACTGTTTTATCAGGCTTCTTCCTCTATGCAGTTACACATTGAATATTCATGTAGGGAGGGCAGCTCCTCACCCCTTGAAGACCTGCATATAAGAAAACATCCACTCGTACTCACAGCTGAGCTTGGATGTATTGTATGTCATAATGCAGAGATGCCTTTCACACTCTGGAGGAACGACTTACGTGCTTTTTTTCCCCTGCTGTAGACAGTAACCTACAGACTCCTGCTGAGAAGCCCCTGTGCAAGGTTTTCTTGGATGGCTTTGGCTGGCCATTAAAGTTAAACACGAATCCCTGAGCCAATGGAGAAGCTGTTATCTGTGTGTTTCTGGAGGTGGGCAGTAGCTGCACTGCTGCGTGTTTGCTGACCCTACTGACAATGCTGATCTCTCTCAAGACTTTTTAGGCACAACAGTACTTGTGATGGGTGTCCTTCTAGTGCTCAGTCATTTGCCCAAGACAATTTGCTTGGGTGAGGGGACACTAACTTATGAAATGCTGTTGTGCAGGACTGCAGTTTCTCCCAGCTTCCATTTGACTTTGTTTTTCCATATCCATACTTCTTTGCTTTTACAAAGTGCAGCAAATCACTGAGGTTGAAACAAGCTCACATCCACCCTTTAAAAATAGTGCTGCCATACCTGCAAACCTAAATGTGTAACAGCACATGACTGCTCACAGCAAATCATTTGATTTCAATTCCTATTTGTAACCACAGATGATGTCCTGTATGGGGGCTAGTACTGATGAAGCAGAGCAGATGCTGAGCAGCATACATTTTGTGCTATATTTGCTGGTATTAATGTATGACAATGAAGCTTAACATGTATACATGAACTATGTACTTATTACAAGGCCAGCTTCTCTTGAATTGGCTGCTTTGAGATTTCCAGTGGGCTGCATTTGTTTAACTTTTTGTGCCTTAAGATGGTTTTATACAGTGTTTTTTAACATTGTTGAGAATTTGTATAGAGTTGTGAAAGTTTAATAGTATAAGTTATAAACAAGGCATCTTAGATTGGGCCTGTAATAGGAAAAACTTTCTGTAACATTTAACTGCAGGACTATCAGCCAGTCCCATGTGCTTGAAGCCTTTTCTGCTTGAAGCCATTTCTGTTCCACTGTGAGTGTGGGTAAAGCTGTAAATAAGGTGTTCTGTAGAGAAGGGGCTGTTGAGGTTGATGTTTTTGAGGCTTAGTTAGGAGTGAAGTAACATGCTAAGACTGGGAACAAATCAGTAGCTTGTGAAGAAGAGCTGGTTTCCTGCAGCTCCATGAATACAGAGGATTGCGTGTACGTACGTGTCTCATCTGAAAGCTGCTTATGCCTTAAGTTATGGGAAGGGTGGGAAGGGAGTGTGGGTGCAGAGAATGAATCCACTCCTGGACCTCATGGGCAATGCTCTGTCCCTGCTCTCACCTGCTGGCTGCACTTCCCATACAGGGAGCGTGGTACCTGTTTGCCTGAATGCAGGAAGCTGGAAGGAATGGCAGTGCAGGTGTTCTTAAAAGTTGCTGGAGAATTGTTATTTCTATGGTTCTGATGTGAGAGACATGAGCTCTGCGGGCAGGGTAAGCTCAGGACTCTGCCTCTGTTGCAGCTGTTGGAATAAACAGCTGGTTGAAAGCTAAGCCTTGTCTCCTCTTGTCTTGTTGCTATGTTTACCTCTTTAAGCAGGAGGCTGTAGATTTTATAGTCATTAAATTAAAGCTCTATAAAATAATCTTTTTTGTCCAAAGCTGAATTTGCGTTGTGATTTGTCTCATTTTTCACACCTTTCATTTGAGGGTCCCTAAATACAAAAAGGTACGTTCCAGCTTGTGACCACCTGGTGAATCTTGAGAGCTGTTACGTAAGAAATGAACCAAAAATGAACTGCCCATTCGCCACTGGTGGTGCTGGCAGGGGACAGGGAGCAAGGTGGGCCTTGCACCGAGCTATGCCGTGGCTTAAGATTTCTCTTGAACATTCCAGGTGCTGTTCCTGGAGGACAGCTCAATGTTTTAAAGAAATAATGCCAGTTCATTGTACTTCTGATAAGGTGTTTACTATTGCAGGAACTTCACAATAAATGAAAGCTTGTTTTCTGAACACCTGATGGGCCTTTTGTTCTTCATGCATTGGAAAACACATTATAGATAGGATTCAAAGAAAAATAATGATCTTTCTTCAAGACAGCATTACTGATTTGAAACAAAACTCCAAAGTTCCTCTAGTTTGTCTGGTGTGGGATGACTGGAATCAACAGTAAAGCTCTGAAGTACAGTGCTGCATTGCAGACTACTGCAGCTTCAAGTCTTCTGTGGTTGATGACTACACCTTTGTGTGTGGCTTTGACTAGTAGCTAGAAATACATTCCTGGGACGAGGTTGTACTTTGTTAGATGGAGTCTCCTCAAATGCCCTTGCTTTTATCCAAGGACTGCTGTAAAGTTACTTTTCTCAACACCCAAACAGCAGGATTACTGATATTCTAGTTTTCTAGTTACACATTTGTTCAGTTTCTGCAGCAAATATAAAACACACCAATCACCATCTCCACTCTCAAGCAATGTTTGCATTGTAGAGGTCTTCACAGTACAGTGTTTATAGATGTTGAGTTATGCCATCATTGGGATTAATATTACACGGATTAATAATCTGTGTAAATATTCCTGTTTGGGTATTTTTTCTTGGTGTACACTAAACCTAGAAATACATTGCCATTAAATTTAGGGCTATTATTTCAGATGTCTGACAGGTGGAAAATAACCTGCCTGAAGACATGGGCTTGGAAAGATGGGATTTAAATGCCAGTGAATGGTGTGCAATGTAGGACAGCTGTGTATCTGGGACAGGGTGGAGCAGACGCAAATCAGCATTAATCCAGGTTTAACAAATCATGCTGAAACATGTGCTCCAAAGCATTGAAATTTCATTGTCCCCTCCAAGGCACACTGTGTCCAGAACCATGTTATTTGCCTGATGTGACTTCCTGTGGGGAAACACAGAGCATTGACTAGATGGTGGTTGAGAAAAGTATTTCCTCTTCTGTGGAAAGGCATTTCCTCTTCTAACACTGCTTAATTTCAGTAATTGTTCCTGCTACAAGACAGCTGACAACTCTGTAGCTCTGAAAAAGTATAATATTTTGGTTCCATAAAAATACAACCTGGAAGCTTTATAGAACAGGAAAAGAAAAATAGGTCCATATGGGTAAAATAAAAATCTCTCTTAATGAAGCAAGGGTTAGGATTTGTCAAAGTGAAGCAGAGCATTAGGACCACAACCGTAACTGCAAAATCAGGAGAGGGAAGGGAACTTAACTCCTTGAAGGGATTATCTTTTTTCCTGTAAACACAGAGACCTTAATTGCACTGGGTCTGTGCTTCCCTGTGCACTCAGAATCACAGCTCTGCCAGTGATGCGTTGAAATCAATGTACCACATCTCTTAGTTAATTTGTAATCCCAGTGTACAGACCAAATTACACAGGTGCCTTTTAACTAATCCTTACAGGCAAATCCCCTGAGCTGTTGGGGTATTGCCTTACGGTCTGCCACTTCCCACTCGCACCCT